TCTGAACATCTCTTATTAATGAGCAGCGTGGCCAAGGGAGGAAACTCACAACACCGAACGCAGACAGTAGCGAAAGGTTAAGGGAGGGCAGGGGGGGAAGAAGAGGACGGCCAAGGGGGGAGGAAAGGGGAAATAATTGGAGCGATGAAGAGGGGGTGGAGGCAGAGGAGGAGGGATGTTCAGAGAGACGAGTGGAGGAGAGAGATAGGGGAGTGAACAAAGGAGCAGAGGGTGAACAGAGGAGCGAGAGCATGACGGAGGAGACAAAAAGAGTCTGAATCCAAACAACATTTTATAAACCTGCTGTTACCTGCAGACTCCCCTGGAGTCCCTGAACGCCCCGCAGCTTTACAGCTTTTGCCTTGTATCTGGTCACACTACAAACCAGATTACAACCAATAAAAACCCCTGCTGTAAACTCCGACGCTCAGACCTAACAGGTGTGAAAAGGTGTTTGGAAACACAGCGAGACTAAAGCTAAAACCCGTCTCTGATATTAGATTGCCTTGTGTCGCATGATCACTCTGACAAACCTGTTTATAGCAGAGACACAGAGAGATGCTGATCAGCAGATTTCAAACCCTTTTTATAAGAGAGTAAACAAGGCTCTTTCTCTACTTCATTAAAGCTTTACAATCACAGCAGATTATTCTCATTTTAGTATCAGTTTGACAGAAACAACAGTCTGTGAGAGAGCAGCACAAAACAAATCACTCAGCTCTGTGTTGGAAACTCTGACAATCTTTCACCGTCACTTCTTCAGACTCTGCACTTCAGATGATTTTCTGTTTTATCCAAACTTTGAAACTTTAATTTCCTCCCAAACATCACTGATCCCTCTGCTCTCTACATTATAGTTTCACTGCCATGCCATTAATGCAAAAGCTCCGAGGCCCTGACCTTTAACCTTTCTCCTGTTTGTTATTTAATGGCAGGAAAAGTTCATGTGAGGTGAAGGCAGGTCTGTTCTGTAACTGCGACTGAACTGAATTAACACCATCACACTGTTTGAGTGGATGATTTTCATATTCATGTTCTGAGTCAGGGTTAGATACCGCTGTTCAATCTCCCTGTCTGTCAACCACCATCGTAACATCCACAAAGTCCCTCAGTTTGGATGAGTTAATACTGTGGCTGCAGAGGGAGTAATAGTTGATGCATGCTGTCTTAAAACACAGAGGTAGACCTTTAATTGTGAGAAAAAGAGAAATATTCGATCAAAAAACAGTGAAGGGGAATAGATGTGAGGAGGAGAGAGCTGGGAGCAGGAGGAGAAGTCAAAGTAAAATAAATATCTGTAATGTGTTCATTGATATGAATAGTCTCGTTTTCACTGTAATTAGTAAGTTACACAGACTCAAGAGAAGAAGAAAACAACTTTGAAAATGTTTGTTTGTTAAAGGGATATTCCGGCCGAAAATTAAGTTAGGGTAGCAATACAATACAAAGAGCCACGTGCTCAACCAAAAAGCCACTCTATAGCCACAAATAATGCTCAGAACAGCACCTAACTTCATCAACAGTACATATAGGGTCCCAGCCATAGTACTAGTCACCAAACTTCTTTTTAACTTTATCTGATTTCTTTAGCAAAAAGACTAAACACAACTCACCCAGTCTCTTCCAGCAGCCGCTCGTTTGTAGCAAGACCTCGGACGAGTCCATCACCGACTACAGCGGGGTGATGCAGCTCAAGGAAGAACATTTATGATCATTTCTTTATCATTTTCTTGAAGTAATAATCACCATATTAATCATTTTGCATTGCAGACACGATAGTTTTTCTGCCTTAGGGTCTTGGTCTGCTTGCATTTCTATTAAGAAATGATCATAAATGTTCTTTCTTGAGCTGCATCTCCCCGCTGCAGTCGGTGATGGACTGGCCCGAGGTCTCGCTACAAACAAGTGGCTGCTGGAAGAGAGTAGGTGAGTTGTGTTTAGTCTCTTCGCTAAAGAAATCAGGCAAAGCTAAAAAGATGTTTGGTGGCTAGTGCTGTGGCTGGGAGCCTATATGTACTGTTAATAATAATAATAATAATAATAATAATAATACATTTTATTTATAAAGCGCTTTTCAAAAACACAAAGACACTGTACAGAGTTAAGCAATAACAATAAAACACACATCAATAAGCAATCAAATTTACAACAATATCAATAAAAACATGTAGAACTGTTGATGAAGTTAGGTGCTGTTCTGAGCATTATTTGTGGCTATAGAGTGGCTTTTTGGTTGAGGTTTGTCTATGGCTCCTTAGACCACTGTGTATTGCTATTGTGTGGTCGTTGCTTAAGTTGGTATAATTAGAGTAGCAAGCGGTTGGCAACATTCATCTCTTGACGGGGTGTGTTTGACCCTAACCTAATTTTACACTGGAATATCCCTTTAAGTGGAGGTCAGAGCCATTTCTTCTGATGCATTCAGGGGAGTCAGGAAATCCAAATGCTTCCTGTCTTGAGTGACTCAGCATCAAGCAGATTAGTGTCTCGTTGTAAATATGTAAAAGTGACATCTGATAACAGCACTTTATTACTCTACGTCAGTTTTATCCTTGTTAGATATGTTCATGTCTGAGCTCCAAAAAAAAAAAAAATAGTAAGATAGTGAAGGCCTTCGTGACAGACTCTGAGTATCAAATTGTTGTTCACAAACTGTTAAAGATCCGCTTCTTTGCCCGTGCAGATACAGGTTGTCAGATCCAGGTAACAGTGTTTGTAGAGTCTGTGTATGATGCCGACTGTGACAGCTGCAGTCTAACGTGATCAGGTCAGACGTGGGTGGATCGACTTGCTCATTAACCTGCGTCTCAAACACCAAACGAGTCGAAGACTATGAAGAAGTTTTACTCTGATTCATGTCCCAGTGTGTCTCCTCTCTGTCTATATGATCCGCACAGTTCTTTAACTTCATGAGCTCAAACCTCAAATCTACAGATCCCACAGGTAAACGTCAGCCTCTCTCACAGGTGAGGTATTCAAATTTTGCACTTTTTTATTTCTTTGTCATACAGTTTATTCCAAATGATTTCACAGCAAACAACATTCCTGTTTCTGTTCCAATTAGTGTTTGTTTGTTTTTTTTTTCTTTCTTTTTAACTTAAGTCCCATTGTATAAGGATCCTGAGGGACCAGAAACAGCACATTCTGCCTTTATGAAACTTTAATAGATGAAACTGTTTATTGAGTTCATGTTTGGCTCCTAATTTAAAGTTAAACTCACACAGGGAGTGGAGGCACTCAGTCAGTTTAGAAACAGACACAGCAGACAGGGATTATATAAGAGTTTTACACGATATGAAAAACTACATTTTCTTCTATTCAAAAGCCAGTTTTTCTTTCCACCTGCCATACTGTAAATTATGTTCCTGATAATTAAGTTAATCTTCTGTCATGGTTGTTTTTTCAGGCTTTTTGTTCCATCTGTACAGTTTATTACATATATTACCTTGAAAAAGAGTAAATAAATGAAGTAATTTAATTAGTCACATTTAGAGTGGCTCACATTTTACATGTATCCTTCATTTTTCACTGACAAACAAACTTCTTTTTTTTCCAAGACAGCCCTGCAACATTACAACACACATCATACCATCATCAGCATAGAGATTAACACAATCTTAACTTTTTGAAGAGCGCAAACAGGAGTGGCACTAACATAGATCCCTGAGGTACTCCTCTGCTGATCAACATGCAGATTGACACCAATTATAAACTGTGTTTTATGAAACAGCTGTTCAGTGGAGTTTATCTGAGAGTGGGGAAATATAGTAATGTCCAGCAGAATTTATAATCCATTTCTATGCTGTTGTTTTGATACAGTTTTCTCAATTCAACAGTTATTATCCAGCCGATTAAAAACTTAATATCAAGCTACAGTCTGGTGTCCCTTGTGTTAGATAAATACCCCGCAAACTGCTAAACTTTGCAAAGGTCCCAGCTACAGTTGGTTGACATTATATTTGTAATCCTGACTCAACCTAGCTTTGGGTCAACCAACCAGAGGCGAGCTTTTGGCCTCCTTGCTAAAGTAGCAACGGTGTGGCCCTCTGTCAGCCAAGTCAGTTTCTGATTTGCCAATCCTGTAATGTTAACACCTTTGAAAAGAACAAGTACATAAAGAAAAAAGTTCAGTAGGTTTTGTGAGGTTCCTGAGCTATTTAGACTAAAACCTTTTTTTTAAATCAGACCGTTAAAGGCATGGTTGATGATCTTAGAAGCAGTTGAAAAAAACTGAGCCGTTGAAGCAGATTTGAAAAAAAGCGTCCCACCCCCCACGCATAAACCTCTCCCCTCTGTGCTCCACAATAACTCCCCCCTGAACCTGTATTGCCCTCCCCATGACAAACCCCCTCTTGTAGAGCAAGAGGCCGGCCCAGCAGAAGATTCTACGCTAGCTTCAAATAAGATTCATTATGTCGGATTGCTAGTGGCTAGCGGCAGTAAACGCCAGCTCTGCTAGCAACACTGTCTGTAGCTGCATAGAGAGCTACCGTATTGACATTGCAGAGACTAATAAGAATTATTTATGTAACGTGTGCCAAGATAAAAGGCAAAACTTACCTGTTCAACAAAAACTCTGCTGTCTCGGCGTCTGTTTTCAGGCCCAAATCCTGGCAGAGCTTTCTCCATCGCTCAAAGGATGACCCGATGTACACTCACCGGCCACTTTATTAGGTACACCTGTCCAACTGCTCGTTAACACTTAATTTCTAATCAGCCAATCACATGGCGGCAACTTAGTGCATTTAGGCATGTAGACATGGTCAAGCAATCTCCTGCAGTTCAAACCGAGCATCAGTATGGGGAAGAAAGGTGATTTGAGTGACTTTGAACGTGGCATGGTTGTTGGTGCCAGAAGGGCTGGTCTGAGTATTTCAGAAACTGCTGATCTACTGGGATTTTCACGCACAACCATCTCTAGGGTTTACAGAGAATGGTCCGAAAAAGAAAAAATATCCAGTGAGCGGCAGTTCTGTGAGCGGAAATGCCTTGTTGATGCCAGAGGTCAGAGGAGAATGGCCAGACTGGTTCGAGCTGATAGAAAGGCAACAGTGACTCAAATAACCACCCGTTACAACCAAGGTAGGCAGAAGATCATCTCTGAACGCACAGTACGTCGAACTTTGAGGCAGATGGGCTACAGCAGCAGAAGACCACGCCGGGTGCCACTCCTTTCAGCTAAGAACAGGAAACTGAGGCTACAATTTGCACAAGCTCATCGAAATTGGACAATAGAAGATTGGAAAAACGTTGCCTGGTCTGATGAGTCTCGATTTCTGCTGCGACATTCGGATGGTAGGGTCAGAATTTGGCGTCAACAACATGAAAGCATGGATCCATCCTGCCTTGTATCAACGGTTCAGGCTGGTGGTGGTGGTGTCATGGTGTGGGGAATATTTTCTTGGCACTCTTTGGGCCCCTTGGTACCAATTGAGCATCGTTGCAACGCCACAGCCTACCTGAATATTGTTGCTGACCATGTCCATCCCTTTATGACCACAATGTACCCAACTTCTGATGGCTACTTTCAGCAGGATAATGCGCCATGTCATAAAGCTGGAATCATCTCAGACTGGTTTCTTGAACATGACAATGAGTTCACTGTACTCTAATGGCCTCCACAGTCACCAGATCTCAATCCAATAGAGCATCTTTGGGATGTGGTGGAACGGGAGATTCGCATCATGGATGTGCAGCCGACAAATCTGCGGCAACTGTGTGATGCCATCATGTCAATATGGACCAAGCTCTCTGAGGAATGCTTCCAGCACCTTGTTGAATCTATGCCACGAAGAATTGAGGCAGTTCTGAAGGCAAAAGGGGGTCCAACCCGTTACTAGCATGGTGTACCTAATAAAGTGGCCAGTGAGTGTATATTCCAGTTAGATTCCTCGCTTGGTCGCATTTCCTCTTTGACTCTTCCCTTTCTTCTGTTGGCTTGCGTTATCTCCCCACTTTTGGCGGTGGGGCAAGCAGAAGTGTTTCTTTTTTTTATGTGTGTCCTTCTCCATCACAGCTCCTGTAGCTAAGCTGCTACGCTACTTTTAGACGCTCAGAGCCAAGAGAGTGGGAAGGGACGAGTCTGAACTACGACAGTGGGGTGTGTCAAATACAGCGAGGTGATTGGATGGAGAGGTGTAGCAGGAGATTGACCAATAGGAGATATCCAGGATGGTTGGCTCCCATTGGTCAATGTTTTTGCAGCCCTGCACCTGCGAGAGTGAACAGATTTTTTCCAGTCTTTTTTCTTTTCACTTTGTGGAGATCGCACTATAGGATCATGATCACCATATAAACAAGGTTCTCTCCAATCATCGACCATGCCTTCAATGTGTTTATTTTTGTTCTAAAAACAGGCTTTTAATGAGTGTGTATGTGGTTTCTGGTGCTTCTACAGACAGCATCTAGTGGACACTCACTGAACTGCAGTTAACACTTAAGCATTGACTCCATTTCAAGACTTCAGGTTGCAGGTTGCATAAAACACAAATGTAAAATTATTCCTTTACGCTTTTTAACATGACGTACTGATCACACATTATCGCCACCTACTGGTCAGGTATATTTATGTCGGCATCTTTGAGCATTTAAGCATTGTTTTCTGTACAGAGAAACATTCACATTCAGCTCTGATACAAGCTGGACTTTTTATGAAAAAAGAAAAAAAAAAAAAGATTAAAGTACCTTTGTAGGTGTGGACGAAGCCTGATCCTGCTGTCAGATTTGAAGACAATAAATCAACAGTTTCTCATGGCATTGAGAGCAGACTGTGGCCTTTTGTTTCTGTATGTTGCATCATTTCTGTTGGCGATGAATCTGTTCTGCAGCAGGATGGAGACCTGTCACACTCTGGCTGTTTGTGGTTTCATTTTTATATAGTATGAGGTGTTGCAGATGTGAATAAACATCTTGAAGTCGACCCAGGGAGGAAACATCTTCAGCTCTCTGTCTGTTGTTCTGTTTCTCTATCTATGACAGCCCCTCTCCTCCTGACATGTCTCTGTCTCCTGATGTTTCCTCCTCCTCCTCTTCTTCTTCTTCGCCATCTTCTCTCTTTCTGTGACAGCCTCCCTCTGTGTCTCCTCTCTCTCTTTATTCTCCTTCAGTCTATCCAGGGAGACGCTTTAAGGATATCCACTTCAAAGGCTCATACTTAATAATTTGGAGGATTCAGAATCAGGGCTGTGAATTAAACAATAACACAGACAGGAGAACTGTATGGCAGTCTAATGAGAGCAGGAGGAGGTCAGGGAACAAAACATGGAAGGGGGAGATGACAGGGTCAGGGAGAGGGGGGAGGCGGGGAGGGAGAGAAGGGGGAGGAGGATAAAAAATAGCTTTCACTAAATTAGAGCTTCGAGTTATAATCAGTCACAGTGCAGAGGATGAATTTGGTTGGAAATTGGATTGTGAACATGTAGAGTTTGATCAGAATGAGATCAGGACCTCGTTCATCTTCAGACTGGGAGAAGACAAGTGCAGATACATGAAAAGACTGAGAGAGAGTCAGATAGATTCAGTCAGCGCTCTCCATCATTCATCGCTCTCATTGTTCCTCTCCTCCTTCTGCCTCCTTATTTGTCTGTCATCTCTTTTCTTTTGAACATCCACCCATCAGTCTCTTTAAACTCCAGCTATTTGTTTCTCCATCCTCAAAAAATGGGTGAGAATAATTATATTCTGCACCCCGGTGTGAGGGATGCACCTTTGGTTCAAAGACTTTAAAAAGACTTCAGAGTTATTTAACCATGTCATTGTGTAATTAAGTAAGTAAGTAAGTAAATTTAATTTATGTAGTACTTTTCATAGATAAAATCACTAAGTGCTAAAAGGATAAAATGCAATAAAATACAGAGAAACACAATACATATAATGGCACAGATACAGACAACTTCACAGAGGCCCCACAACATCAACTTCAGTTAAAAGCCTGCCTAAAAAGGTTTTAAGTTCTCTCTTAAAACGTCCAGTGGACTCTATGCTGTGTAAGGTCAATGGTCGTGCATTCCAAAAGCGAGGGGCGATGGCCTGGAAAGAGCAGTCACCTTGTGTTTTAAAACGATTGCGGGGGACCATCAAGAGTTTGTGGTCTGATGACCTTAATGAACGTGAGTGGAATAGGGTTTCCGTAGCTCAGTGATGTATGAGGGAGCTTGGTCATGGAGGGCTCTAAAAGCAAGAACTACAATCTTGAAATGAATCCTAAAGTTAACCGGTAATCAATGTAGGGAATATAAAATTGGGGTGATATGGTCCCTTTTCTTGGAACCAGTTACAAGCCTTGCAGCTGCATTTTGTACAGTTTGAAGGCGATTTATAGCCTTTTTATTAAAACACATGAAAAGACCATTTCAATTGTCAATGCAAGATGAAACAAAAGCATGAATTATCATCTCCATTTCAGGTCTTGAAATCGCAGACCTCAGACTGGGAGAAGAAAAGTGTAGATGAAAAGACTGGTAGAGAGTCAGCTCTGAAGTTGCCATTTTTAACATTATCTGTCTTTATTGAGTCTCAGTTTTACTGTATTTATCTGAGTCTCAGTTTGACTGTTTCTGCCTCTGCTGAATATCAATATCTCTATATCTACGACAGCCATTTTACTGTATCTGTCACAGCTTATTCGCTGTTTCACTGTATCTGCCACAAATAAGTCTCTATTTTACTGTATCCATCTCTGTCACAGCTCTATACTCAACTTTATAAGAATTTCCATCAGCTTCTATATGGCGGTTGCTAGTCCTGCTGATGTCCACACATATGTTTACACAAAAATTTACTTGTTAACTATTTCAAATCAAATTGTATTCATAAGACAAAACCAGCCTGAACTTAGTTTCAGTGTGCCTGTTTCTTCTGAGTCTCAGTTTAACTGAGTCTAGGTTTTAGCGCATCATCATCTTTCGCAACTGTTCGTGCACTTTAGTGAAGACGCCACTGATCACCATGAAGCCGTATAGTCTGATCTTGCGGCTCTTAGACCCTCTTTAAACACACCTCCTCACTCTCAGCCTCCACTCATATGATGGATTATTTAGCTTGAAGCCCATTTAGCCATGATGTAAACACGTGTGTAAAGCATGTGCATATTAATGCTAATGCATCCATCTATAGTGTGTAGGAAGTGAAAAATCTACAGAACTCATTTCCAGGACTCCCTCTTCAAGGTCAGTCTTTGTGATAGACAGTCAGTAAAAGCAGCAGATTAACATAATAACTGTATCATCATGTCAGCGCATCTGTCATTTACAGCCTGAAGCTTTGAGCTTCATTTGAATCGCTCAGCAAACACTAATGTCGGGTATATTTACAGGAAATTAGATAGGCGCTCAGTGCGCTGCTGAATAACACTTTACATGAATCACACAGTCTTTATGTATTCTTAGAGTTAAATCACAGAGATAACATTGTTTATGAAAGCAGATGTAAAAGCAGTGGTTATCTTCAAGTTTTATTATCAATAATCTCTTATGCTCCATATTTCAGCTGATGTCATACAATCAGAATACCAATTTAGGTTTCTGAGTGAGTGGCAGTTATATGAGAAAAAAAAACATTCTCCTGAGCGCTCTCAGGTCCATCTGTCATCTTCAACTAAAAATGCAGTGCAACTTAAATGCATAGTGGTAAACATATCAAAAGGGATCTGTGGTGGGGTGACCATATTCTGACCTCCCAAAAAGAGGACACAACTACGCGGGGGCAGAGTATTTGTATTTGTATTTATTCATTCAGCACAGATTAAAAGGAGTGCAAGGAGGGAACGAAGCCGATAGGCTTATACAAAGTTCCACTCCTGTCAGGGCAGAGAAAGCATAAGGTGCAGACGACAAAGTAATTCGGACATAGACAGGTTACAAATGTACAATGATTAGGGAAAGGTCAAACAGATACAAATTGCCATAAATGGGACACAGACTAATCATCAAACAGTAATAAAGACAATCTAAGTATTCATAGAAAGGAAAGAGACATGATCATAACAAATAATGATGTATTTAAGACATGATCAGATGAGATTAATTATATTTTAAAGGAGTTGAGGGATGATATTGATTTTAGAGATGCATCCAGATTATTCCACAGTTTCGGACCTCTAAAAGTGATGAAAAGTAACGGAGTCGCACGGAGTCAAAGTTAATTTTGAGAGTTTTTCGGGTCAGATCGAGTGTCTTTTATGCGCTTCTAACTCAGTAAGTCCACGTGACACAAACTCAAAACTTCTGTATAAAACCGTGGAAATTTGAAGCATTTTATAAACTTCCCTGGACAAAGCCGGACAAACCTGGACAGCTCCCCAAAAAGAGGACACGTCCAGGTAAAAGAGGATGTATGGTCACCCTATCTGTAGTGTTTTCTTTTCTGTGACTTTTGTTTGAATAATAGTATTCACTGGTGATACCTTTCATTCTATATCTATGTATCTATGCTGAGAGTGAGTGTATGAGTTTCAGTCACAGTTTGGGCTCTTAAAGGGTTAAAAGGTTTATTATCAGCTGTTTAAACGCCCCCATCACTGCATCGCTGCACATTTCTCATCTTCTCTGTCTCCAGAGCATCGTCCCTGATGGTAGATCGTAAATTTATCTATTGTCTCTGAGTCCTGAGCCAGCTGAGCCAACTAATCAATTATAATCAGGTAACCAATCAGAACACAGGTACACCAATTAAAGAGCGCCAGGGATCCTGGGAATTTCAATTAGGAGGCCTGATTTGGCGCTAATGTAGAGCAGCTGCTACTGAGTGCTGTAGCACAACACACACACACACACACACACACCATGCACGCATGCGCACACACACACACTCAGACATAGACATACACACAGCTCTGAAATGTCAGGTTTGCTTATAATTAATATGCAGCATCATGTTTTTCTGTCTAAATAAAGCAGCCAAGTTTGTGGTTGTAAAGAACAAATGTCAGGTTAGATTTTTAAAGACAAACAGCTCAGAGGGTTTCAGCTAAATCTTTCTGGTTGGGTTTCAAAGAAAAACTTTCACATGTATGTTTCACATTTTCAGTTTTAGTCATTAATTAGTGATAAAAACTCTTTCTTAATCTTGTATTTTTAGCTAGGTAAAATCAAAAGGTTTCCAAAATGCAAAAAAAACCCAAAAGCTTAGTTCACTGTTAGTTCAGGCAGGCTTTAGAGTCAAGCTGGTCCTAACAGCATCTCATATTATCCGACAGCTCAGATGATAACCTTCTACCATCCAATAATCAATAATCATGTCAAAAAAATATTTTTTTTCTAACTGCTTCAGCCTGTCTACTCCTCCTGCTTCGTCTGCACACATCTTTACAACCCATAAAGGTTGTACACACATCTCCACCCCAGCTTCTAATTTTTAACACTGCATCTGACTCTATCAGTGTGTTTGCTGCTGCTCTCCCCTCCTCCACCCCAGCTTCACCTTTTTATGCAGCGCCTGATATTACCAGTCTTTGCCAACGCTCTCCCTGCCTACACCTCAGCTCCTCCTTTTTGTGCTGTCTGATTTAATCAGTGTCTTTGCCGATCTTTTCTCTCTTTTCTCCACCCTAACTCCTCCTTTTTCAAATCAAATCAGACTTTATTTATAAAGCGCTTTTCCTACAGGAATTTTACTCAAAGTGTTTTACAAGTTAAAAACAAGAACAAAAAACTATCCCAGATGCCCCCTTACCCTCCACCCCCACACGCACACACACACACACACATACACACACACACACACACACACACACACATACACACAGAAAGACAATGGGCATGAGGCTGAGTACAGATTAACCAGTTGAGAAGGCACCATCAGAGGAGCCATCAGCACCAGGAGCAGAGAGCCGCCCACAGCCACAGGACACCGACACGGGGCCAGTGGAGGGATGTGTCAGACAGCAACCTCCACCCTGCAACCACAAGCGGCCACCGCTCCCGGTGCCGAGGGCTACCTCAGAGGAAACACTTGGAACCTAAAAAAAAAAAAAAAAAAATACTGTCTCATTAAATCAAAGTCATTCCTAATGCCTTCCCAGCTCCACCCTTGTCCCCTTCTTTTTATTTTAAATGAATTACCACTAATGTGACTCTGTTTTACCCCAGGGGTCTTTGCTGCTGCTCTACCTGCCTTATCAGTTGTGCACATAAAACAAAACTGAGAGGAGGTGTGTTCGTGTGCCACAGGCCTTGACATTTTACACATACATAGTGAAAGGCAGGGAGGTCCCAGAACAGAGCCATACCACCTAATATAACTCATTACATGAACATAAAAATTATCTTCGACTAAATTAGTCTTGAATGAACTGGTTTTGTTCAAAGAGTTCCAGCGGATTAAACCATGAAAATTAGTCCCCCTCATCACCACAACATTCACTTTCACTGAGCCACTCCAAGTAATCTAAGCTCCTCTTGTTCATGCTTAGATTCACAGGTCTGTGCCCTCTACATTTCTGTAAATTATGCTTATTTATAGATATCTCTGTGTTGCCTTGACCACCCTCAACTTGTTTTGCTTTAGGTTGACTGGCTAACGTTAGATAACATATTGGAGCTGGCTTCAATTGTGACAGCGGGCATCTCTTTAATTTACATGCACGGTGGCAAAAGATGGCAGTATTAATGTGTAGACAGCTCTGTGATTGTCTAATCTTCTGCTGCTTTATGTTATTACAGACTAAACACAAAAGAGTCAAGAGGAAAGTACAACACTTTATCAGAAGAAAGTGAAACAAGGTGAAAAGCAGCTGGGATAAAACCAATGTGTTTCAGATAGCTCAGTGTACCTGACACTGCCAGTTCTCACTGAATTTAGTGGGGTAAAGTGGCTCTAAGGAGTATAACCCTCACTTTGCACAGTCTTCACACTCAGTAGTTGCTAAACTTTTTACTCATTTTATTTTTAAATCCGGGTAAATTTAAAGTTTTTTCACGTAACAAACCACACAGATATCAAGACAAGCATTTAAACTATATTAAATTAAAAAATTAAGTCAGTGGTTTTTTCTTTGGTAGGCTACACAGTTTAGTTCAAATCTTTTCTTCATTTTTTCAACATTTTCTTTTATTTTCCTGATGTGTTGATTCATTTTTAAACTCACAGAAAAGTGATGCAACAGGAAGAAACTAAAAAAACAGAAACCCCCAACAGTTCAATAGGAGTCTTATAATATCAAAAAACAAATATGAAACTATTAGAGGAGGACTTCAGGTGCAGAGGAATAAACGACAGGAGAAATCATCTGTTAGGAATACCATGATAACGGAAACATGAGTCAGACTGCACTGGCACTAACACTGACTCGGTCTGCTGGTCTAAATGGTTCATAGGTGTTTACAGTCTATCAGTCTCAGGGGAATCCTGGTCAGAATAGCTTCCTGGTCTTACTGGTATATTGTTGTAATGGTACTCTAAACTAAGAAGTGTCTTGGTCTTGCTGGTCTCCTGGTCTTCAAGTTATTCTTGTTTTACTGGTATCCTAATCTTACTGAGTTCCTGGTCTTCATGGTATTCAAGTTTTATTTCTATATATTCTGGTCTTACTACTATCCTTGTATTATTGGTATTCTGGTCCTGTTGTATCTTGGTGGTAGTGGTATCTTGTTCATCATGGTATCCTTGTTTCTCATACTTTTGTCTTAGTGGTATCCTGTTTTATGTGGTGTCCTGGTCTTACTGGTATCCTGTTTTTCAGATTATCCTGATCCCTCTGGTTCATTCAAGAGCTGTCATAGTGACTAGTATAACAGACTGGTCTTGATCCTCTCTCTCTGTTGTCTCTGATATGCTTGGCAGGTGTTAATACAGGCCTTACTGAACCCTCAGCGCAGACAGTAGGCCGTGGGCTCTGAGTCAGGGTCTGAGCTTTAAATGTGTGAAGGGTCAGAGTGTTTGTTGCAGTTCACAGAGTCCTAAGAGCCTATAAAGATAATCAGCTGGTTCAGATAAACTATCAACTTATTTAGACAGACTGACTCTGCTGCTGCCGCCAAGGTCTGAAGACACACAGAGCTCATCACACATGCAGATATTTGCTTAATGTCTTTAATGCAGTTAGAGTTTAATTTCTTATGCTACTTTTAGAAAATGAAGAAGTACACTTACCCAAGCAGCTATAACACACACCGACAGAAAAAAGTAAACTAGCTTGAGTAAAGGAGAGCAGGGATCTTTATAGATTATAGGGACCAGTGCTTCTGTGCATTTGCCTCGAGGCCCTGTTGTTTTACTAGGGGTTACTACCCCGGCAGTAGCCGCTGTGGCCCTTTCATAATTTCACAGAGGGAGTTTCCTAGTTGTTAGGGCCACGGGGCAAACACACTGAGGTACTATTGTTATACTGTGGATTTTTTCTTTATATTCTCTATGACAAATTCCAAACAAAGAGGCACTCCTGTTTATAACTTGAAGGTATGTCCACACTTGCTGTAACACTGGCCGCCGTACAATAGAGATGCTATAGACTTTACAGCAGGCCCCTACACTCTGGATTTTTTCTCATTCCTTTTTCAGATGAATTTTGATTCGCTGCTAGTTTTACAGCTTGAAGAGATGTAGGACAAATTATATATCAAAACATGCAGTTTGATCGGGATTGGTGTGCTCTTACTTTTATCTATTGTATACAATTTTTTTGCAAGGTAAGTCACAAAAAAAATGCATTGCAGTCAATGGGACAAGCCAAACAAAGAAATTATTGGAGTTTTCAAATGTCTACTTATCTAACTCTGTTTTTCCTTTTTTTATATACTTGAAAAGGGAATGTTTGTTGTAGGTGTGCTCCTTGTATATAATATCACAATGCTAGTGGTATGAATTATTTGAAATCTCTGAAAAATCTCATCATAATGTATTCCTCCAAGCATTAGCCCCCGTGGCCCTTCATAATTTCCCAAAGGAATTTTTTATACTTGTAGGGTCATTGTCACCATTATTTTTCTGTCACTGTTACTTGCCTCGACACTTTAGCATCTCTTATGACTCCACAAGATTGACTTCCATATTTTTACATTATTCATCAGCATGCTCTGACACCCTTATTGTTTATTATTCAAGTACAGTACATCTAAACTGCAAAGTACAATGAGCTGAAGCACATGTCATTATGTTGTCTCTGATAGTCAGGTGAGAAGGCACCAAAACTATAACTCCTGCATTCAACAGTGTGCCTGAAATGTATGTGATCAATGACAACATGAAAGACCGGTTTATTTTTATCAGTTAAGTGCGGTTTAATCAAATGCAAAATAAGTGATATCAGCAGTTTATTTATCAGTATTTTGTTTTAATACAACATTTATCACATGTTAATGAAATTTTTTTAAATTTTTAAAATAATGCATATATGATTGTTTTATTCATTATGTTTGTTTGATATTTAAATTAAAATGGTTTCTTGTGAGAATAAAATGCGGTGGTCAGAGTATTTCTCGTGTAGAGAAAACCATCTATTTATCATGATTCTCCTTTTTTCCAGACAATATGGTAACTCATGATCCTGTTACTCCAAAGTTAGATTACATTTACACGTGCCCAGCTGTTTTCATAAACGGACATTTCACCCTCTCTGTTTACAAAAAAAATTAAAAAATGCACACATAACACCACATTCTCAGAAGAGTTTTCGTTTACACTAACCCGTGTATATATGCCTTCAAGAGCATATCAAACTTGTGGATGGCAGTGTAGCAAGAAGCTCAAGTGCATGTTAGCCAATCAGAATCCCGCATAGCAGGAACAACAACAATGTCCCTTCCTTCTTTCCCGCGCACAATCTGCCGTCGCCTACCCAAATCTCAATTTTTCCAAAATCTCCACTCTGGTCAGAGTTTTTAAAAACCATCATTTTCAGGGGCGAATTCTCTGTTTGCGTCTAAACAAATGGTGCAAACAATAGTTAATGTCTCTTTTTTTTTTTTAATAACCAGGTATGTATAAATGGGGCCTCAATATGGCTGATGTGTTTTAGTTCCAAATATAGACTTGTGATTTTCAGCCTGGTATACTTTAGCTGAGTGTATGTTAATCGTGATGTACCCAGTCTGTTCGGTTACCTCCAGGTGAATCGGGTGTGTGTTTGTAAACCCCACTGAAGCTAATGAGGAGTTTCTATCTGTCAGATTAGTCCTCATTAACAGACTCTGATACCTTATCTACAGAGTTCCTGTTTGTGGCTAACTGCTATCGCTAGATATTATTAGACCATTATCTGCTACTGCTAACGCACACTCACACGTGTACACACACAATGATAAGTCTCTTACATACTCACAAACACCTGAAAACAAAGAGGTGAATTCACCTGCAGACTGAATCTGATCACAGCCAAACAAATAATCTCAGAGTTTTCAAACCCAGGCTCTGTTTTTTACTTCTCTATTTGCATATCAAAAACCCAACAGTTTGTAAAAAAAGGTTCAAACACTTAAGTTTCTTTTTTTAAATCTCAAACCTGATATTCGGCGTAAACTTTAATGATTTTAGTCACAGGGCTTGTCTTATTTTGGTCCAAACGAAAGCTGTACTATCAAATTTGCTCTCTAAATAACATCAGTAACACATTACACAAACACACACACATGTGCAGCTTTATTGTGTGTCCCTGCTGGGTGTTGATAATCAGTGCTCAGATAACTCTGCAGGAGTCTGAACTATCTGCAGGTCTGTGTCTTCTGCAGAGCGAGGCCAACTTAACAACAACAGACGCACAAACGGAGCGACCTTTCCATACGAAAACCAGCTCAGGGCCGCCTCTATACTCTGATAGATAGAGAGTGTGTGTGCTGCAGTGTGGGAGGATGCTACTGCGTGTTCAGGCTGTGGGTGGAGCCAGGCAGCAGCAGCAGTGTCAGGGTCAGAGGTTTGATTCCCAGAGGATAGAGCAGAGCTGCCATAACTTTGAGCTCAGTGTGCTGTAACTGCACTCTCTATCTGATCTTTCAATCGTTATTACATTTATTATTCTCATCATCT